CATCTGTTCGCTTTGTCGTATGATGTGGGCCTGTTCTATACAACTATTCAGGGTTTCCCAAATAAATCATTTTCAAATAAATCATTTTCCGGTGTCTCAGTCGGCTTTCTAAGTCTCAGCTGACGACCTAAATTTCATGTGTTTGCTCTCAAAACGGCTCGCTTTCTTTCCTCTGTATTTGTAAAATGTAGGTAGCCTTGTTTCTTGATTGGCTTCTTGGCTTTTCCTTGAGCATCAGAATGTAGGTATTCACAAGCTCTTGCGCCCAGTTAAGCCGCTTGTTACTCCACGTCCCGTAACTTGGTGCACAACGCTTGAAACATGAAAGTACCAAAGCTGCCATAACCTGCTGTAAAGGCCTGCGTGGAATCTCGCTGCTGGCGTGAACCGCGGCCATCGCACCACGAATGCACTAGCCCCGAGCTGATTTATGTACGGTTGGTATGTGCGCTGCTCGGTCTAACGATCCCAAGTTAACCGCTCCGCACCCGTTCACAGCCGCATTCCCTATGTTGACACGAGCTGATAGTCCACCATGATCCCTGGTGGGGGAGGAGGGCGGCAGGGCAGGTCATTACCAAACAAATGGTTAGAGGGAGGGTCGGTCACGTATTGAGTCAGAGGGAGAGTCAGTTACATAGTTATCGGGGGGAGTCAGTTGCACAGTGGTCAAAGGGAGAGTCAGTTTTATAGTGGTCAGGGAGAACCAGTTACATAATTGTCAAAGGAATAATCGGTTACATAGTGAGAGAGAGAGAGAGAGAGAGAGAGAGAGAGAGAGGAGAGAGTAGAGAGAGAGAGAGAGAGAGAGAGAGAGAGAGAGAGGAGAGAGAAGAGAGAGAGAGAGAGAGCGAGAAGCCAGTTACGTAAAGGTCGGAGGGAAAGTCAGCTACATAGGGAGTCAGACGGGGCAAATCAGAATGCTTACGAAGGTCAGCGCACTGCAATCCAAGGCCCGAAGCTCATGAGCGACGATTACCCATGTTTACGGACGCACATCGCTAATCACACACGGCGATTACGGCGCAGTCAACACATAACTTATGCATGTTTAGCTTGAAGAGGGTGCTTTATGGGTATGGCCCTTATCAAACTGGGCACTCTTTTTTCGTCATTAACAAGCCGTGCAGGCCCAATGCAGACTGAACGATTCAAAAACCCGTGAAGTGTCAAATTATCTTGTACATAATTGTTAGCCAGGGGCTGAAATGCCGTGAATATTGGAGGCAGAACTTCAGTTGAGAAAATGCAGGCATTCCCGGAAAAATGCCCCTTTGTTTGGTACCGGAGGGCTCCAGGGCCTGAGGGAATGCTCAAAGAACATGCTCCAGCGGGACTTTAGAAACGTCTTAGAGATGGTGGCAATATCAATTTCCAGGTAAATTCCCTCATTGCTTCCCCATAGAGTTCATGTTAAACATTTCGCAAAAATAGGTGAGACATAGGCCTCTGTCCCCACCCCCGTTGCACAAAGCTGAATTCAAATTAAATGTGTATACACCTTTGAGGTGTTCAAGCTTTCCGACTGTTTCGTGCTCTGTTACCAAACGTTTTACGACACAACACGTGTGTCTGTTGCTGAGCGGGGATTGGGCTAGATGGAAACATTTTCTGGCCTTCCCTTTTCTCGCGGTGAGTAAAACATTTCGATTCGAAAGGACGCTTGCCAACCCTAGCAGATTTGAACGACTGACGCAGTACCAGCTAACTGCGCTGCGGCTGTGTAAGGTACAGCGCTGCTAGGTTAGGGGGCTGGTATTTGAAGATCGGTTAGAGGGCTGAGCCCATGAGGCTGGCCTTACCTAGCCAGAAAAAAACTCATTTCTTCCGGATTGTAGCCTGCTTTAAGTTGCATCCCTATGCTCAAGTTTAGAAAATCCGTTTTTTGCAATATTTGATCCGAAAATTGTATTGCTGCAGAGGAATAACTACCCATTTTAAAGCCATGTCAAGCTGCCTTGTTAGGAAGAACCAGTAATAGCGTGCATTTCAGAGAAAGACAGTTTGGTGGAAAACTATATGAAAGCTAATATAAAATAAAACGTTAATGTTAAAGAAATTCAACATTGTAAAGTATTGGGGAGAAGATGTTTTTTCCTCGCGAGCAGATGTCCTTGCAAGTCTATCAACATATCTTCACATTCCGTTTACTCTGGAGCACACTGCATGCAGTAGGCTGGTCCCATTTCTTGGCACCCTTTTTCGTGGTACAACCATGTAGAAGATATGCCGCCGAAGCGAAATGTAAACCGCTCCGTGCCACAAACTACTTGAATTGCTCCTGATAGCCCGGCTTGTTAGAGCGCCTGCCTTCCAATTCGCACACCTGTGGTGGGATGGGTTCAAGTCGCTTTAGACGTTCGCTTTTTGTGCCCGGCGGGTACGGCCTGCGACAGTGCAGTAGCTGCGGTGGGTACGGCCTGCGCCGGTGCAGCAGCTGCGGTGGGTACGGCCTGCGCCAGTGCAGCAGCTGCGGTGGGTACGGCCTGCGCCAGTGCAGCAGCTGCGGTGGGTACGGCCTGCGCCGGTGCAGCAGCTGCGGTGGGTACGGCCTGCGACAGTGCAGCAGCTGCGGTGGGTACGGCCTGCGCCGGTGCAGCAGCTGCGCTAACGGTCAGGTGACGTCAGAGACAGGGCGGCCGTGCTGAGCATGGCGGTACGTTAAACTTTCGCAGTAAAGTTCTGCCGTTGACTCGGGATTTTATGATCGGTTTGGGGATCACCAAACAGACACTGCTTAGCGTGGGCGCTCGATCCAGAGATACATCCAATCAAAAGTTATGCATTAACTCTTGAAAGAACTTACGGCCACTCCAATCATGCTGCGCTACGATCCCACACCCCGCGCCTCACTAAAAACGCAGTCCGAATGTTATACATTGGGAAAGTATGTTAAGTAAGAAAGTATGTTTTCTGATCTATAGTCATGTGGACGTAGATGTGCGGAGCTCTCCCTTTTTTCGTGAGAGTGGATGAACAAATTCGGCTGTTATGCGAAAGCTTGAACATTCCCGGAATGGCCTAACATGTCAATGACTTAGCATGACAAAAATGTTAGGCACATAATAGGGACCTTTTGGTATAAAATTAGCGTGATACTTCTTGTGATTTGTCTAGGTACATAGCGTGTCGATTACTGAAAATACGGCTTGTCTACGTATTTTTGACTCAGGATTTTCTGTTTACAAATATACATTAATCGAACTTGTATTAGCATTGAGAGGACTCAAGTCAGCTTTTCAGGCCTCAGTCTTCCCTCTCAAAAAACGATATAGAAAGTGACGCCTCTGGCTAAAGCACCGTAATATTTTAAACTGCAACACAGCTTCCTGACTCCAATAGAGTAATGATAAGTTTAAAACCCAGCAGAACTGTTACAACGTAAGGGGGAAATCCCTGCGTAAAAATGCAGAGTGAGTTGCGATAATTCATTATGGCTTTTTATACACTGCACTCGAGAGGATATTCTTGGGATGCTTTCTGCTTACCAAATGAGTTCTTTCCCAACCAGCAGCTCGCTTCGGGGCTGGTCGGCAAAGTTTGGAAAAGCTGGGGAAACTCCACAGTTCCCCAATTTTTGAAAATGCTAGGGAATTCCCTAGGCATTGCTTGGGGAAGCTTAGAATTTCACTGACATTCCTTGACCGTCAAGTTTGGAAATCTCTTGCGAAGCCATTTGTCAGAGCGTAACCACTGTGTACAACTCAGGAAGCCCCAAGATTCCCTGACTGGCTGGGGAAAGCTTGGCCAATCCCGATCGGACTGACCATTTATCAGTGCGTAATCCCCATAGGCAGCTCATACCAACCTACGGACATAGACAAGACAGCCCTGTCGGCCTTATTCCTCGGAAAAGCCAGGAGAATGGAAATATAGATAAGTTGATATTTCGGCAACATGCGTTTATCGAAGCAATAGTCGAAGACTATTATGCCTTTTGAAATAGCTGACTTCAGCTGTTGTTTTGATAAGGGCATGTTGCCGAAATATCAACCTAACGGTATCTCCATTCTCCCGGTTTTTCCGAGGAATGAAGCTTTTACTACTGTCTGAGATGAGCATTGAGATTAGATTAGCGTTAGATTAGATTACTATTGTCTCACTTTCGGCGTTATTTCCAAGCATTCCCCAACCGCTAACTAGGGGAACAGTCGGAAGACCACGACTGAGTTCGGACCGAAGCTGCTTTCTGGATAAGTTCCACTTTTCCTGGAACAGACCCAGCATGTCAATGCCTAAAGCAGTTTCCCGAATACCAAAAAGCGGAAATATAACCAACTTTGCCCACTGTCTTCGCCTGTGACGTGGGAGCAGCTTGATGTTAGTCCAGGAAAGATGCAGCCAGGTTTCCTTCACAAGTGATTTTCTCATTGAATTTGGAAAACATTGTTTTTTATTAGAAAAAAATCAAGTGGTTCCGTCCCCACTGGTCTAGTTTACACATGCCTGCATTCCATGGATATCCACAAGCGGTTTGTCTAAGGTTGGTAGGTCTGTTTGTAAAGTTGGGAGCGCCAGGCTGCAAGTCAGAAGGGCTGAAGCTGCGTGTTGGGAGGCCTGATCTGCAAATCGGCTGGGAGGAGAGGCTTGTGCCCATCCAACTGAAAACAATCTTTGAACCCGAGCTCCATGTGGTACACGCCTTCCAAAACGTTCATGCTGTGTCCCAAACTTTCCAGAACAATTGCAGCGTGAACAGACTTACCGACAGCATGCTCAAGTTGATGAGCCCATCCCATGTCTGTCTTGAGCCCTGACTACTAGACTGCTAGTAGACTGCTACTGTTAAGACTGCGGGCTTAATCCAGATATACCCCATCTCTGTGTCACGTTCAACCCCTCTTCGGCAGCGAGAGAACCTGTACGTGGAGGTGTTGTACACGGTGAAGCACAAGGTGGGTGCTGCCACCTCGCAGCACTCGGCGCCGGTGGGCGAGCTCGACGACTACGCCCAGGAGGCGTTCCACTTCTCCCGTGAGCAGCACCAGCGGATGATGACCATCGCTAGTGATGAGAAGGTGAGTGGTGGTGAGGAGAGGCTCAACGTCTTGGGGGCCTTGGGAGGCCTTGAAGGGCAGGCTCCACTCCTCCCGAGAATGACATCAGGGGATGGGGGTGCTGGCGATAAGCCGGTGCTGGTCAGGAGAGGCTCCACTCCTCTCGAGTATGACATCAGGGATGGGAGTGCCGGCGATAAGCCGCTGCTGGTCAGGAGAGGCTTCACTCCTCTCGAGAATAACATCAGGGGATGGGGGTGCTGGCGATAAGCCGATGGTGGTCACAGGCTAAACACATCCCAACAGACAACATGTGCATTTTGCACAAAATGTTATCCTGAAGTGCACACGTATGTTATACTAGTTTGCTCTGATATGCTGGTCTGCAACTCCTCCATACGTTATACTAGGCTGTAAACACAGGCAGGTGTTTCACGAGATGACACCGGTGGATCGGGACAACAAAAATGGACCGCCATATGCGGCCGTTGTTTAAAGTAGAGGGTGTCCCGGGTGATAGCACACGCTTTTCTCAACACTCGCGAGTTTATGTGCTGCATTGTCGTGACTGTGGCGGCATTTCACTGCGGACTCGACAGCGCGGCACGAGCAGCGATAGTGGTGGTCATAAAGACTTTACTCTCGTCAAATCGTAACCACAAAAACTGTTCCAGATGGGCCCCAGGCGGTCCAGTACGGCAACAGCTGAGCCCACGCTGGTGGTCGATTATCCGTTTGACGTTGTCGATGGTGATACCTCCCATTTTAAACATGAGGGTGACCTTACGCGCGTGCAGACTCGCTTGCCTGTTCACGCGGACGTGGCTCGTGGGGTTACCCCACAGTGTGCGGTCTTAGGTGACGGGTGGACGAGTGAGAAGCCACAGCACATCAGTCTTATGCTGATGTGCATTCCTTCAACCAGCTCAGTGAAGCCCGTGCTGTGTGCGGTGCCTTCCCGCCTTGCCAGAGCCCCTCCCCATCGCATTCGACTCTGTGAAGTCGCCCCAGTGTCGCCCGGAAGGCTTTCAGAACGGTAGCGGTGCGGCGCTCTGGGTGTTGTTTACAGGATCCACGTCCTCGTCCTCAAATAAGCATCGTTTGTAGTCACGATTTGGCAAATGTGAGATCACTGATGACTGTCAATGTTTTAATCATGTTTTATGATTGAATGGTCATTTGACTGCCATTACAGTAGTTCTGTGTCAATGTTGAGCAAACCATGGGCTAACTTGTATTCGGGCCGCACTGTGTAAGCTGTAATTTTATATACGCAGCCTGTTTGTTTTGCCTTTCCGCGACTCATTTTCACACCTGATATCATGATATTGTTAAACTGAGAACACTCTGCACAATGAGGAAATCTCACTCAGTGTTCAGGTTATCCGTTCTCGCGGAAAAGAAGGGATGCTTTAGCACGGGTACACTCGTACTACTGAGGATCAGAAAATACGGGCACCACCTTCCTTGTTTAGATAAAAGGGCTGTTTTTTAGTGCTCATGTTGCGTGTTGAGCTGCAATACATTATGATAGGGGGACGGTCATGTGTTGTCTTCAGGCTTAGTCCGAGCATTTTCATTGGTTGTATTTCTGTCATGAGCACCCATGCTAGGCAGTGCATTTTTACAACGGAATCTGACCACTTTAAAGGAATCTTGGTGGCGGCGCTTAACCACTCCTTTCCGGAGTACTGAAGGTCGTTTTTTTGTTATATCAGAGCTCTCAAATCATAATGCCGAAATACCAAGAATCCATGCGCTTTTTGCTTACATCAACTTTCAACGCGTGTCAAAGTGTTGGTGGCGCCATCTGTTAGCGCGGTCACTGGTTCGCGGTCCGGTTACCAGCCTCTAGTATAATGTATTTTTCAATTATCTTCATCCCTGTTGAGCAGGTCGCGCACGCTCAGTGTACTTTTACGTATGAGTACATCCTGGCGGTGCACACGGATTGTTTCGCCGAAAAACATGAGTAAGGCCATCCCATTCTGCGTAAAACTGTTGCGTCTCGGGCCACTTTTGATGACTTCAAAACGCCACCTGTTTCCTTGCTCACAACCGGTTGGTTAAACAAAACGATTTTTTGCTAACACATCCTACTTTGAACATGCCACAAAATTTAGTTTGTATTGGCTTGATATGGGAACCTGCTCAGCAGCAAAACAATATTTGGGTTGGCCAAATATCTTCTAGCTGTTTTATTTTGGCATTGCGGACGCAAACTAAACTGGCCAATCTGGGGTACATCAGGTTTTTAGGTAAGGTATTTTAATGTTATGAGCTCAGCCCTCCCCCCCCCCCCGTCCCCAGCTGACCGATTTTAGAATGTGATACTCCGGGCCTCGGGTCTCGGGTGTTTGTTTTAAGTGGACACCTCTAATTTTGATTGAGAAGAAATACCGCACATTTAACGGTCAATAAAAGACTGTGGATTACAGATGTAATTGCGTTCAATTGCTTTTTCTGCACACAAACTGCTTGCAACAAATGTTCGCGGCTTCGAATCTGTATAACTTTTGAGCAGTAATCGACGGTCAAAACTACCGGATGAAAATAAATTTATCGAGCCATGTCATTTGGTGGCGGGATGAGCCTGGGCACTACTGCGTTCTCTGACGGTGTGATCACTCGTAATACGGAAGGAAAAGGTTTGTAAATAATGCTAAAAAAAACTTGTTATTTGCTTTTGCGGCGGGAAGCTAGCGCCCCCCGTTCGCCTACGGGGGAGCTTGACGGCCACGTGCCAAAATCCTTAGAGCGACTTCATATGGCCGGCGCGTCGCAAGCGCCGCGGTCCGTCATTGCCCTCAGGAGGTCTGGTCTCCGCCAGAAACGAGCGCTCGCCGGCGGCACCAGAACTCTCCCCCGAAAATAAGTGCCGGGAGTGATCGGACTGCTCGCGCTGGTGGAAAGAGCCGCCATGATGTGGCCGCTGCTCCCCCCCCCCCCCCCCCCGCCCAGCGGGTTAGGAGTGGGTGAATATAATTTTGGATGAATCCGTCGCCGAGGTGGAGAAGGTAGGTTTGCAGCAGATTGGGCTTATTGTGTCAGGGGACAACTAATGGCAGCATGTTTCCAGGAAATGCACGCCCTGTCCCAAACGGCACTTATCTTTGATACACGCCTTTTGAGACAGGGCATATGACGTTCATGTGTAATCGGTATCGACCCTTCGACCTAACCACTGGCATAGCCGGATGCTTCTTTGTCCTGAACTTTAAGATCATGCTCTGATATAGGATGCGTCGGATGTATCGTCCAGATACATCAACATCGGAAATGAAGGTTAGCCCAGTGAACCAAGAAGAGTGACCGAAGGTCCCCGAATCTGACACTGACGTGGTCAGAACACAAGCTTTTTCAGCCTCAGATCGTGCGAACAGGTGGACTGGTTAGAGGTACACAGTTGATGTGCAGTCCGTCCACAAGGCGCGAAAATGCATGATGATGGAAGCTCTTGCTCACACCATGGATGTAGAGTTGCAGCGGATGTAGTGCTGTAGTGGAAATGTGTCGTAGTGGAAAACACGTCGTCTAATGCTGTGTTTTATCACTGATGGAGAAGCCGGGTGTTGGGTTTAAGCGGGACGACGGCGATCACTCGGTGGGCTCCGTCGTGGGCTGATCACATGAATGGGATTGCAGTAATAACAGCACAGGCTATTTAAAACCTACGTCGTCCTTGCCTGCTTTCGCGGGCTTAGTTGCCAATAAATGTGTGTAGGAACAGACATAAAGTGCACTATAGACATATGCATAAGAACATCACGATCTTCAGCTAACGTTGAAGCCAAAGTCTTTTGGCATGAAGCAGATTTCGATTAAACACCGTCAAATATACTTGCAGCACGCGAAATCCAAAATCGACAAAGTATTGGTGTCATGTAATCAAATGAAGACGGCAGCAATAATTCAAAGCATGCTCAATTTTTGAGGAAATTTAATTCGGGCTATTTTTATGAAAATCTTAGTAAGATATGCGACTTTTCTTATGTCAAACAATATGAATGATAGTCAACATAATTGTAAATGGAGGTGAAAAGGGATGAAAATGAAAACAAGCCACTGAGGGTGAGGGTGCAAAAATTATGGGTCCATACGCCCGCAAATCTTGCCAAATGCGGCAGAGTTTGCAAATACAATTCTAGAGGTACTAAACAAATCAGTCACTATAGAATCTTTTCAGAACAAGCAGCATCGGTGGTACCATCGATATGCATTTAATTCAGCTACGAAAAATGACAACAGAAAACCGCAGCTAGGCATCTCAGAATAGAGAGACATGACAACCTTCATAACTACATGCAGATGGCTTGGGAACTGTTCATACCATCTCAGAATAGAGAGACATGACAACCTTCATAACTACATGCAGATGGCTTGGGAACTGTTCATACCATCTCAGAATAGAGAGACATGACAACCTTCATAACTACATGCAGATGGCTTGGGAACTGTTCATACCATCTCAGAATAAGAGACATGACAACCTTCATAACTACGTGCAGATGGCTTGGGAACTGTTCATACCAGATATATACCATACTTTTCACTCACTTCTTTAGGAATCAGCAACCACTACCATCACGACTTTTTCCCCAAGTCTGCCTGTGAACCACATTTTGGCCTGTGTTCCATGCAATTCTGTATAATTGAACGATATTTTAGGTTCTAATCTACCACAACAACAGCACTTAAATTTTGAATTTGCTTGTAAGCTGCCATCTTAAGAATCACTGTTGTAATTGCAGAAAAACACGGTCTTTAAGCTACCGCAAAAATAACAAATCCCGCGTCAGACTTCGGTGTCAACTTCGGCAGTGGGACGGAGCAGCGCAAACTACACAACACGGCCCAAACCAAACAGCGCCAACTTCGTTCAGCCGGTGCGTTCGGCGTCTCCGCCGCCACACACCGGGGGCGGTAGCTGTCCGTCGCGCCGCTGGCCGTGGGCGTTGTTGTTGCCGGCGTGCGCCGCCTGGGGGAATCGGCCGTCAGCAGCAGCAAAACGGGAAATCGAGCTGCACCCGGGGCGCCTGACGACCGTATGTCACGAGCTGTTGGTGGGGGACCGAGTGTTCACGAGGTGGGGGCGCCTGACGACCGTATGTCACGAGCTGTTGGTGCGGCGCCTGACGACCGTATGTCATCGAGCTGTTGTGCGGCGCCTGACGACCGTATGTCACGAGCTGGTGGTGCGGCGGCCTGACGACCGTTGGCGCCTGACGACCGTAGTCACGAGCTGTTGGTGCGGCGCCTGACGACCGTAGTCACGAGCTGTTGGTGCGGCGCCTGACGACCGTATGTCCGAGCTGTTGGTGCGGCGCCTGACGACCGTATGTCACGAGCTGTTGGTGCGGCGCCTGACGACCGTATGTCACGAGCTGTTGGTGCGGCGCCTGACGACCGTATGTCACGAGCTGTTGGTCGGCGCCTGACTACCGTATGTCACGAGCTGTTGGTGCGGCGCCTGACGACCGTATGTCACGAGCTGTTGGTGCGGCGCCTGACGACCGTATGTCACGAGCTGTTGGTGCGGCGCCTGACGACCGTATGTCACGAGCTGTTGGTGCGGCGCCTGACGACCGTATGTCACGAGCTGTTGGTGCGGCCTGACGACCGTATGTCACGAGCTGTTGGTGCGGCGCCTGACGACCGTATGTCACGAGCTGTTGGTGCGGCGCCTGACGACCGTATGTCACGAGCTGTTGGTGCGGCGCCTGGGGCGGGCCTGGATGGACGTGGCCCGGTCACGCGTCCGGACAGAGAAAGGTGGGGTAGCGGAGGAGGGAAGGCAGAGAGAGAGAGGGGGGGGGGGACCGACCGTAAAGTTAAAAGGTATGCATGCCATAGAATGCCACCATAAAAATGGAGAAGATGTGCTTATCTTTACAGCGTATCGCAGCGTCAAATGTACAGCTTACAAAATAGGCGAAAATGATTTTCAAAGCCAAATTATTAAACGTCTAAAGTGGAATGTCGCGTATGCCTAATCCGGTTCAAAATTGGTTCCTTTCCAGCATTCCTTACTAGTTATTCGTAGCATATGGTCGCCTTAACTTTACAGCAAACGAATGCATATAGCTTTCAATTATCATGGACTTAACCGGCTTGTTAAATGACAATACAACATCGAAATAAATTAGTTTTGTAAACAACCCTTGAGAAATGCGGAATTCTCAAAACGTCCAACTGCGGCACATACTGACCTACTGCAGCTTGGTGACTGTCCTTTGTTGCAGCTATTTTGTCGTTGATAACCGCCGGTCGAGGGTCGTGAAATGGCCTAAATAAATACAGCTAGGTCAATGGAAGTTAGCGAGATCCCGCGCGTTGGGGGATGAACCCCGCTGCCCGAGAGAGCACGATGGAATCCCCCGCCGAGGGAGCACGATGGAATCCCCCCCGCCGAGGGAGCACGATGGAATCCCGGCCGAGGGAGCACGATGGAATCCCGGCCGAGAGAGCACGACGGAATACCGGCCGAGGGAGCACGATGGAATCCCGGCCGAGGGAGCACGATGGAATCTCGGCCGTCATTGCCTCTGAGCGCTAGTGTGGCCACTCTAGTCGTTAGAACTCCATAAAGGGGTTGTGCGACGGCGTGCGAGTGAACTCTTAAAAACGAAAACTAACGAGGCCGTAAAATCGTGCTACTTTTTGCGGTCATCCTATAAAAGCTATCAAATAATGTTTTACACGCATTTCAACAGGAAGAAACATTAGTTCACTATCTGGCAAAGCCAGACATGTCTCGCAGCCTTGCACTGCAATGTTTCCAAGACTTTTGAGCTCGAAGCAGAAGTTGCCGAAACACGTACGGCTGGATGAAGACGGCACGCCTGATTACATCGCATTTAAGTGCTGTTCGTAACACATGCGCTCGCCAATTTATTTCTTAAGTGGCGCCTCGTACGGCAATGGGTAGAGCGTTAAATTTGCACCATGTGCTCCATGATCTTTTCACAGACCAGGTCAACGATTTCAGCCTAAATGCAAATCTGGCCTCCTATGATTGCTAGGGATGCACTAATTTAAATAAAACTCACATGCGTTGAAGTACACCATCAAACATACCGTTCGGTATTTAGGATTTGTCTTCAAAATCTATGTCCGTGAACAGGCAGCTCAATGTCAGCTCAATTTATTGACTTAGCCCAGTTTTACCCGATTTTATTGGCTATTGATACACAGACATTATGATTAAGATGGCCATTAAAATATGGCACTTCTATAAAACAATTGGCATATTTTGGCCTAGATCATCGCCCACCAATATGGATGTCATGTATGAAAACCTTAGACATCCCATGAGACATAAAATGTAACACGAACGCCCTGTGACCTCGGAAATCTTCGCTGTCTGTTGCTGCTGTCAAGTGCCACAGGTAATTCGCAAAAATGCATGTCCTCTACATTCACATACTGTCCTGCTCACTCGCGCATACATGACTGAAGAGGATTTACCATTTTCGTACGACTCGTAAGAAATTAATATAGTGACATCAAAATTTTAGGGGTTTCCAGGCCAAGTATTGTTTGTCTCGAAAGCCGAAACGGGGCAAAATATGTCGTGACCTTTCTAGACATCAGATGACGTTCCCTGGCATTCATTAGTCCTTCCTGAACCCGGAAAGACAATTTACTGGTCATGTAAACTTCTGTAGAGCTTTGCATGTTCTTATATGATTGTTCAAAGATGTTACCTTAGTTACGCTTATCCCACTTTTGGGTCGATTTGGGCGGCGTTTGTGTGTCTCAAGAACGCTCTGGTGTTTTAGGAGCTCCCTCTCCGTTAGCCGCTTAAACATTCCTGTAAATACTTACGATAGGAGAGTGTTGGACCTATACATGTGCATGATAATGGAAAAATTGGCCTGGCTTGGCTTGAATGATGCGGAAATTTCAAAGTGGAATTAAAGGACTCCCCATAGCCTGCATTTTAGACAATGGTCACTTAAATCATGTTTCCCCTTGTTAAAATTTCATTCTTACTATACTGGTGTACTTTGAAGTGTTGTGATTTCTCACGAACTCAAAATTAAAACTGAGATCAACAATTATAAGCGTTTACGACTTGTCTGAGGCTGTTTCACTATTATGTTGCATTTTGTGCGGTGTGGGGAAGGCGAAGCCCGTGGGAGGGCGTCGTCTAAACAGACCTCTGTGTGCGTGTGCTCGTGTGCGTGTTTGCTCGCGTGTACGTGTGCTCGAATTCTAACTGGGCACTGTTGCCTCCTTCAGCCCCCCATCGTGATCCTGAACCTGGTCGTCGTGGAGGCTAACGGCCTGGAAGCGAAGGATGCTGACGGTAAGAGGCCGGGCTGCGCCCACTGGCGCGCCGCTGCACGACAGTTTTGGAGCATAGCCACTGCTGTTGTAGTCTGGTGCTGCAGTATGCTAAGTGTTGGAATGTTGAATTATGTATCGTACTGTAGTAGTTAGATATATTTGTCGGCTGCCCAGGACACTTCGGGTTCCTAGCTAAATGTCAGTTTAGTTGTTTGGCTTGTTTTAAGTTGTGTGAGCATTGAGTCATGTACGAACGTGTGAGGCTGACGCTATTTTAATCTAGGCCCTCATCGTTCTCGATATAATGCTCACCAAACAGTTTGTCACGGTGTACGATATATATATATATATATATATATATATATATATATATATTCTTTACACTATGATGTCATTTTCTATACGCAAATATGATTTACACGCATTTTCCATGAATGGCAACTGATACCACCGATGAAAATGGCATGATTATAAGCATATCTTGCGCAAAAACTGCTCTAAAAACATTCCTCTATTCCAAGCCCTGTTCAGACATTTGACTTCAGTTTCAACATCAGCAATGGTTGCACCGAATGCAAGTGGCATTCTGGAACTTTTCTTGTCCCACAACTAGTCGCCAAAATTATTTGTTTGCCTCAGCACTGTTTGTTTTGGGCACGGCGTGCCATCAGCCCACATCGCTCAGGCCACCGTCTACGTTTCATACGAGCCAGGTTGTGGTGATTACGTGATTACGTGATTACGTGATTACGTTACGTTTCATACCAGCCAGGTTGTGGTGATTTCTCTGTGCTCCGATTGGAGGCGTAGCAGTTAATCGGCCTGTGACCGGCACCGGAGCTGCACAGTGCACTTGCTCAGGCTCTACCAGCGAGGCTTGGGCTGTAGTCTAGTCTAGGACTTGTAGTCGCTGACTTGAGAATGTGTACTATTGCTTCCCAGGCCTTAGTGACCCGTACTGTATGATGGGAATAGTGCCCGGTTGGCATGACTTCGCGGAGGGGCCTGATTCTCATTACTTCACTGAAGATCCTGCTCTGCCATTGCCTGGGGCTGCTGGTAATAGCCTAGTTCTTCCCGCACTTCCCGCATCTTCCACACGCTGAACCATTAACCTTTGCATGCCTATATCGCGCTTTGATTGTGCCAATCCGATCTTGTGTGCTCGACCACCGATATGTTCTGTCGAGATGTTTGGTACCCGCGAGACAACTAAGTCGCTTTGCCTCCGTAGATCAAGTTGGTGCCTCCTCATGAAGTGTGGCTGTTTATGCCATTTTGGCTTCCCTCACCCCTGCAAGCTCTGAATCACGCTTGCGTCGGTGTGGTGGGGCATGGAAAAGGTGCTTTAACGCTATGTGCATGCGAGATTACTTCAACCTCTCCGGATTTCTTATTTCACCGCCAAACCGTTCAAGCTAGAGAGCTGGATTGTAGTGGCACTTCCTGATATGTCAGCAAGTGTCACTGTGCGTGACATTTCGAAAATAGTTTGGAGCTTTGCATCGTTGCCGGTAGGCTTCAGGCTTTATTTGTGAGAGAAACGTCAGGACAGGCTCCTGTCTTTTTAGACATGCATTGTCACACCCATCTCACAAATGAAAGCCGATATTAACCCAAATTAACTGTCATGTAGTTGATGGGATGGCATGCCAAGATGTCGATCGACAGGATAATCATGCAATTGATAGGATAGTCATGTAATCGATGTCATGCTATCGATGCCATGTTATCGATGACATACAACCGATGGCATTGAATCGATGGTATGTTATAGATTATCCGAAAAATGGAATCCTGTCATAAATAATAGCTGAAAAATCAATATGTGGATTAAGATTATATGCAAAAAGCATGCATGGAATATATATATATATATATATATATATATATATTCCATGCCTGTCTTTTTATGGGACATGCATAAGCCGACACACTACAAAAATGACGGCATAAGACCGGACATTTACTGTCGCCATACAGACGATATCTTTGTGGAGGTCAATGACATCGATCAACTAGAACGCTGCAAAAACAGATTTGAAGAGCGGTCTGGCTTAAAATTCACAAAAGATCTAAGTGTGCAAAAAAGTACTCCTTTCTTGATGTGACTGTTGATGGACAAGGACAGCGATTTAAAGCGACTGTATACCGAAACTAGACTAACAATGGACGGTGCTTAAATGCTGACAGTGAGTGTCCTCGTCGCTACTAAATTAGCGTCATAAGGTCCTTCATTAGACGTGCATTTGAGCACTCCTATGATTGGACAGGATTACATTGAGAATTGATAAGCATCAGACAGATATTGGTGAACTACAGTTTTTTTCTCAAATTCTGACGTTGACAACAAGATACGACATATGACAAGACACTTTGACAGAAAGCCAAAACCAGACATACAACCAAACGTCAAACTGTACTATCAAGATCAAATGACATTTGCCCACAAACAAGACGAGAAAAAGCTCTACGGGAAATTAAGTTTCGACATGGAAAAGGCACCAACGACCAAAAAATAGACATTGTCATTTATCATCTTGATAAGAAAATCATTATTTTTTTCTTTGAGAGACAGCCCAGACAAGCCCGACAACCTGAAATGCACCAATGTAGTGTATCAATTCAAATGTAACATTGAAGGCTGCAAACTTCGTTCCATTCCATACATCGGTGTGAACACGACACTGTCACGACGCCTCACAATGTACTTACGTGACGGGACACCTCTGGACCCCATGCGACACGAACACGACAGAATATTGACACGACAACAACTGACAGACAAGACTGACACTTGACGGACGTGCAATGACAGAAGACGCCTTCAAATTTGGGAAAGCACATTCATTAACGAAATCACTCCAACCCTAAACAGACAAAGTCTTGTACAACTTTTGTACTATTAGGTGGTGGGCGGTGAGCACTATTGATGAGATCGTAGCGACAGTGTTCTCATTGTGTCTTTGTAGTGTTCCCATTATGAGTATATTTCATAGGTATCAAAGTGCAAATAGGGTTCTGTCTTACTTCAATTGACCATGCTTCAGTTGTGTTCTTCGTACCAAAAGATGTTTTTTCAAAAGAAGTGCCCATTTTGTATCCTTTAAAACTCAAAACTTTTTTATTGTGGCATTCAGTCTTCTCCGACGATGAGATAGGAATCTCGAAACGTTAGAATGTAAGGAGTGATGAATATATGAGTAATTTTGTGCGAACCATATTTAACCTAAACGACAACGCCGATTCAAAAGCCCGGAAACTAGAACAATGCGTCAAAGAGCTCGTCAATGCCAATTCAGCAGATGTTTGTACTCGAGCATGTAAAAAAGGAATATATATATATATATATATATATATATATATATATATATATGTATGTATATATATGTATATATACATATATATGTCTATATATAATTCATATATCATACACTAGTGCCATAAATTTGCATGCATTGAGGGTGGTTAGCCACCTAATTTGATAATTGTAACATTCATCCTACGCTGATGCATGAAAAAATGACTCCCAACTGTTCGAGCTTCCTGCTTGAGGCCGCAGCCATTTTTTAAGTGTCCCGCGGGACAGTAGTTGGGCGGCGGTCGCACAGTGTCGCCAACGGACAGTGATCACACACTGTTTGACCCAGGGCCGATACCAGCGTACAGTCAGCCGAGAGGCAGCTGTTAGTGTACAGTCAGCCGCGCGCTCAGTGAGCAATGCTTACATTTAGAAGGCAGACTTGAGAAGGCAATACAAGAAGATCCTAGTAAGGGCATTGGGGGCCGAGGGTTCATATCTTGTGGGCATGTGGGCATTGTTAACAGCCCAGTCCACGATGGTGACATAACTGTGACCATTGGTAGCAGCTCAGTCCACGATGGCGACATGACTGTGACCATTGGTAGCAGCTCAGTCCACGATGGTGATATGACCGTAACCATTGGTAGCAGCTCAGTCCACGATGGCGCCATGGCTGTTTGGTAGCGGCCCAGTCCACGATGGCGACATGGCTGCGACCATTGGTAACAGCTCAGTCGACGGTGGCGACATGACTGTGGCACCCCAGCAGAGCCGACTATTGCGAGGGCGTATGTCTGGAGTCGCAGCTGGAACGCAGTACAGGAACGTGGAGAGATCCGATTTTACGATATGTGTACACGATATATCTGCGAAACGTGCGTTTTCTCCAACTGGTTCGTATGTCCAACATTTGTCACCGATCTGAAGTACTACAATAGGCCGATGCATATTTTCAATGTGGGGTAGAAGTTTTGCGAAACTTATTAGCTTCACCGTAACGATTTGCTCAACGTCAAACGTATGAATTTAGTCCTGATTGTCCAGGTCTTACGCCTGGCACCGATTAAAAACAAACCATTTAGCGTTGCTTGGGACCCAGCGCAATGCGGGACTAAAATACGAATAAATACAGCAGATGAGAATTATTTTCGGGCCAGCAATAAACTTTAGACTTGATCCTTTTGGGTGCTGCTACTGATATTTTTTCGGAATCTGGTCAAAGTGAAAAGTTTGATCAGACCACGACCATTCGTTCGAAAGTTCGCTTCTGAAGTCGGTTCAGCCGTCTCTGATGTCTCAGGAGGGGATGGGAATGGGGGGGGGGGCTAATTTGAGCCGGGATGCATTGGAAGCGAAGTGAACCGTGAGATAAATCAGATAGGAGTTATTATCTGAGTTAGGGTTACTGAGTTAGAGATATCAGAGTTGCCATGTGTAGTCGTGCTGGCCTTGATGACGGCATCGTTGAGTCAGGTCAACACATGGTCAGGTGAACTGGTCGGCGGCAAAAGGACGGCACCAGAGACGACAAGTTGTTTTGGAAACACATCTGAAATCCACCGTCTATTTCATTTGTGGGGATAACTAAGGGCTGGTTTTCATATGTTTTTGATGGAAATAGTGAGTGCTCTGGCCACGCATTTTGCTGCGAAAAGCCATGGAGCAATAAACTCTCATAGATAACCGCAAAGACAAGGCGTTACTGTTGTTGTTGG